GGGAGGGAGGGCGGGCGTGGTCAGAGGGGTGTGGCCAAAGGCTGAGGGCGAGGGGACTGCCGGAGACCCTGGTGGGGCCCGGCTAAGCTAAGGGGGCAGCCCGGCTGCCAGGTCCCACTGCCTTTGTGCTGAGCCTGCAGAACAGGGTTAGCTGGGGTTGCCTTGGCAGCCATGCGTCCTTGACTCATCGATTAAGCACCAGCTGTGTGCCAGGCACTGTGCGGGGCTCTGCTGTTGCTCCACCAGGTCCAGAAAATGCCTTCTTTCGGCGGGGACCNGCCAAAGGCTGAGGGCGAGGGGACTGCCGGAGACCCTGGTGGGGCCCGGCTAAGCTAAGGGGGCAGCCCGGCTGCCAGGTCCCACTGCCTTTGTGCTGAGCCTGCAGAACAGGGTTAGCTGGGGTTGCCTTGGCAGCCATGCGTCCTTGACTCATCGATTAAGCACCAGCTGTGTGCCAGGCACTGTGCGGGGCTCTGCTGTTGCTCCACCAGGTCCAGAAAATGCCTTCTTTCGGTGGGGACTGGCCCACGTGCTCCTGTTGGCACTGGGGCCCGGAAGCTCTCACCCCAATGCCAGGCGCTCATCCCCTGTCCTCTGCCAGGCTGTACTCCTCCCCCAGGAGACCCGTGTGCTGCAGGGACCCTGTTCCCCAACGTTGAGACACGTAGCTCTGACTCGGGAACCTTCTAGAGTCCAGCACCCGCTTCCCTCCTATCTGATCTGCTTCTGCCGTAGGACCCCAGCCCTGCCCACGCCGACATTATCAAGGGGACCCCAGGGGTGCATGTTCAGAGGGGGTTTAGAGGGGCATATTGGAAGCCTTCACTGAGACACTATGCGATTACGAACAGCAGCTGTTAAAAGTCCTCCGTGTCATCTAAACGGTGTCAGAGCCTCTAGGTATTTCTAAGGGTCACATGGAATCCCTTTTCCTGAAGGTCAAATGACCTGAAAGGTGCAGCCATTCTGTTCGATGTGGTCAGTGGCCAGACGGGAGCCTGCACAGCGAGGCGCTCGCTCGGCACACGGGCCTGCAGTGAACTGTCGTGGCAGCAGCCACAGTGGCTGTTTGAGCCCATAGAATGCGGAGGCTGTGGCCGTCCCCCATCAGCGGAGAAGTATCACACGGTGGGGGCTCTGAGGGGCCCTTTCTCCTTCCAGCTTGTAGCCCCAGGGGGTGCCCTCAGCTCTCCCTCCTATGTCTGAGGCCCCTATCCTTCAAGCAGAAGGGCTGCACCCTGTGTCCATTCTCCCAGTTTCCAGGAGAAAGAGGCAATTGAAAAATCCTTAGTAATTTGATGCCAGTTTCACTCAGTTCTGCCCACAGAAGGGAGGCACTGGGCCCTGGGTCACAGGGATACCTCAGACCCCCGCCCCCCTGTCAAAGGCCCAGTCGTAGGGGGCAGGCATTTGCACACATCTGCAAAGTGCTCGTCTTGCTGAGATGAGGAGAGGGCTCAGGCAGGGACGTCACTGAACTGTCCTGAAAGAAGCAGGGAGCTCCCCATCTCAGGAGGCAGTCAAGAAGAGTCAGGAGGGCCAGTTTTGGGTGACATGGTGGGGTGATCTCCCACACCACCCTGCATCCCTCCCGCCCCTCGAGGCCCTGCACTACCCTCGTCCTAATCTGTGACCACATCACTGAGGGCTGCTGAGGCTAAAAATACTAAAAGCCTCAAATGGGACCCAGTTGAGGGTTATTTTTTTAATCTCATTAAAAATAAAAAGCACCTCTGAATGGATGTCTCAGGAACAAGGTTCTGATTTTTTAAATTTTGAATGCACATGTAATGCCGGGTCTGAAAGCCGCCCTGTCCCAGCCTCTCCTGCAGCGTGGCCCGTGGCGGGTGGAGCAGCTGCGCCGTGGCCACACAGATGTGCCGGCAGCCACGGCAGCCCCCAGCTCCCCCTGACTCACTGCACAGCTTTCTCATTTGCTCCCATATTGGTTGAAAATAACTAAAGCATTTTGTACAAAGTCTAGACAGTTTCGAGTCAATTGGCATTAATCGGAAATCTTTTCCTCCGAAAACCCAAACTGGAGCCACTTCTGGGTTTGTGATCTTGGTTGATTTCGACAGTCAGGCCTTGAGAAACTCGAATTCTTCCCAGAGAGGCAGCTTGCCCCCAATTGACAGTGATGACACTCGCCGCGTCCCAAATGCCGGGCCGCTCGACCGTCAGCCTGGTAGGAGGGAGAGTGTGGGAGGTTGCCCTTGCTGGTGACCTTGAAAATGAGTCAACACTGAGACAGGAGCCGCCCAGCGCCGTGTCTTCGTCCAGGACCCAGGCAGCTGTGCCCTTTTCAACGCTGTCTCACTGGCCTGGGTTTTCATACACAGATGGAGTTTCTTCTTTCCCCAAATAAGTATGAGCACCTACTGTGCGCCCCGGGCCAGGGAAAGAGCAGTGAACCAACGGGTGTGCCTGCGGACCCACAGCCCAACAGAGGGCTGGGCCTGGCGGCCGCTGTGGTTTTCCTTACCACCCACAGGAGACTCGGGTGCCCGGAGCTGTCGGTTCCCACACCCCCCTCCCTGGCAGGTCCCCAAACTGGACGCTTCTTTGTCTGGGGGAAAATAGCCCTGTCTCCTTCTGAAAAGTGCCCTGAGGGCTTAGGAGGAGGGCCTGGCGTTGTCCGTTTTGACCCTCTCCTGGTCCTCCCGGCTCCTCGGGCCAAGTCTGAGAGGAGCCGGCTCGGGGAGACCCCGTCTCCCCCAGAGCCGCTCACGGTCTGCTCTCTCCGCAGGTCTGGTACATGGACGGCTACCACAACAACCGCTTCGTGCGGGAGTACAAATCCATGGTCGACTTCATGACCACGGACAATTTCACGTCCCACCGCCTGCCACACCCCTGGTCCGGCACGGGGCAGGTGGTCTACAACGGCTCCATCTACTTCAACAAGTTCCAGAGCCACATTGTCATACGCTTCGACCTGAAGACGGAGAGCATCCTCAAGCAGCGCAGCCTGGACTACGCCGGCTATAACAACATGTACCACTACGCCTGGGGCGGCCACTCGGACATCGACCTCATGGTGGACGAGAGCGGGCTGTGGGCCGTCTACGCCACCAACCAGAACGCCGGCAACATCGTCATCAGCAAGCTGGACCCCGTGTCCCTGCAGGTGCTGCAGACCTGGAACACCAGCTACCCCAAGCGCAGCGCCGGCGAGGCCTTCATCATCTGCGGGACCCTCTATGTCACCAATGGCTACTCGGGGGGCACCAAGGTCCACTACGCCTACCAGACCAATGCCTCCACCTACGAGTACATCGACATCCCGTTCCAGAACAAGTACTCCCACATCTCCATGCTGGACTACAACCCCAAGGACCGCGCCCTGTATGCCTGGAACAACGGCCACCAGATCCTCTACAACGTCACCCTCTTCCACGTCATCCGGTCCGACGAGTTGTAGTTGCCTCCGCCTGGACGCCGGGGTCCAGGTCCTCGCCCGCGTGGAAACCCTGTGACACGGCGGCCCGGACGGTGCTGACGAAACCCATCGCACCGGCTCGGGAAACGGCCGCGGCGGGGAGTCCCGCGGCGCGCCGTGCCACGGCCTCCGCGTTTCTCCCGCTCAGGCCGGAGGGCGACGGATTGGGGAAGGAACCCCCCCCCCCAACTTTGCAGCTGGAACTGCAGCCCAGGGCTCCCCTCGCCGCCCCGGCCCCCCTTTTTTGGTCAAATCAAATGACATACTAAAGAAGTCAGGCGATGTCTGTTGGCCGGTTCTCGCCCGAGGACAGCCCGCCGTTAGGATCGCATGGACCTTTCCTTAGACCGCGGTCGGCGCCGATGGACGGGCTCGCCGTGTGTCTCCCGGAGCCCCCGGCCCTGGTCGCCCCCGGCGCCCGGAGGGGTCCACGCAGGCTCATCTAGCTCGTACCCCATCGCGGCGGCTGCTCCCCGACCGTGTGTTGTGTCTTAGATTAACGTGCCGAGACCCCAGTAGCCCGTGCCCCCGTGTCTAGTGG